TATTGACAAGGATAAAATTTTAATCAGAAAAAAAGTAGAACAAAATTATAGGGCTTGAAAGTACACAGACTTAAAAGCCACAAAACATCAGCTATGATCAGGGAATGGAAGATGGCGCAAGAACTACAAAATAACAGAAGGAGACATCGTATAAGAGATATTTAATAAATTCTATAAAGGTAATGTGTCAGGGGAAAGAAACCCCTTAAATAAGGTGTACAACTACTCTTGTAGAGAAACTGCATTATTAAAAAAATGGCTCTTTATTGTCTAAGATACCAAAAAAAAACCCTCAACAGCTGAAAATTCAGTTTATGCTAATTTAAACTAGAAAGAAAACTTTGGCAGAAACAATCAACAAGTGGAAATGCTACAGGTAACTTTCAAAAACAGCTGCAAATAATCCACATCCTGCACATTCCTGCACATTCCACTTCATTTAATATTAAAGATGTAATGAATGAAGTACCTCTTCAGTTTGTCTTTTTTTCAAATCTAATTGGTCTCAAGCAGCTAACTGAAAATAACCTGTATGAGACTCAGATTAGACTGAGAACACAAGAGATTCTTTAGACAAAGTCTGCTTCTTCAGCATTATACAAATCCAAAGAAATAAACTATCCTTTAAGTCTGTATTTTTTTCATATAGCCACAACTCAGAACAGGTGAACACTTCTGCTGTTAAATCATCAGTAAGTTCTCTCACATCTCTAAGTTCCCATGAGTTGTTCCAAGTACTGCTTCTTCTGATAGCAAAACTGGACGAGACGGACAGTCTGATTTGGTTTTAATTTAAAAACGAGTAGTCATCAACAAGAAAAGAATGCTTTCGTAAACATGATTTCTTCACTTCTGAGTTTCCACTGTAAGAATTTCTGCAGTACTAATCAAATCACACCGTGGAGCAACGGGAGCTATGATAACACATTCTACTAGGATAGAACCCACTTACAAAGGCGTTTGTTCAGATTTAGTTTAGAAAGCAATACAGAGGAAAGTGGCTCACCCCTTCCAAAGGCTGGTGAGCTCTGAGAAGAGCACGATCTCTGAAGAGAGATGCTGCTCACCCTTCCATGAGGGTCCACACTTCCAGCCATTCAGGTGCCCTGCTTGCACCCGAGCTCCCTGGATTAGCCACATTCTCACCTGGTGCTGAATCAATGGTTCAGACTACAACCCAGCAACTCCCATACAAATGCCACTCTTCAGCTGTGCATTTAAGAACATGTTTAACTACGACCATACATCCCTCAGAGATTCAAGCAAAGAATTCTACGTCTTAATATTAAAGTTTCTTTGTACTCATTCTGCCTAATATACTAATATTTGTACACTGAAAAGTATATGCTTGATATTAGCCAAACTGGGCCAGAATTAACATCATAAAACTATTTAAGACAGCTGCATTGCGAATTCAGAAAATAGTAATACTATGAATTTTGGATCTGCATACTCTCAGCATCTTCTACTAATCCAAGAAAAGATATGGAGAAGGCCTTTTTCTATTGAAGGTATATTTGTTGCTCTACAGTTTTTGTTGATTTGGGCGCGTGAGGGAACTGAGAGGAAGGAACAAGAACAGTTCACAGGAAATACTTGGGAAAAGGCAGTATGATTTTCCCTGCATCGTGCTTTGACCCTGAAATGAAAACTCAGTTTTAAAAGAAATCAAAGAAAAAATCCTGACCTTAAATTTAAGGTAAAAATTAAGTTGCCTAAAGAGAAAATTTTTCAATTTGGGTCAATATAGGTTTTTTTTTTGTTTGTTTTAAGTAATTTTTGTCAAGTTAAATATATTAAAAAATCCTCTCAAAACCAAACCATGCGTCACATGTCTGAAAGATGCTCTGGTATCCCAGGGGACTCTTGGAGACAACTGTGTGAACCTTACATTAAGTTTGACCATTTTCCTTGCTCTAAAATGTAAGATAAAACACGTAGATAAAAACATAGATAAAATACATAAACCCATGCAGCCTAACAGCTGCATTCCTTTTTTTTTCTACTACTAAGAGCATTTTGTTCCATGTTTTAGATCATAATATTCTGGAGGCCAGACCCAAGTTCGTGTTCCATAGTTTTATTGTCATACAACAGTTGACGTCCCTGATCACAGCTCCCAGACACAATGGCAATAAATATTATAAGCAAAAATCTCCTCTCAACTAACTGGCAGGGATATCTAAAAGCATTTAAAGCCAGGTACAGTACATAACTTACTCTCTTCACAGAGGAGACTTTTCCTTAATTGCACAGAGAACTTCCCCACTGAGAAGCAGAGAAATACAAGAATTTATGAGTCCTAGACACTTAAATGTGTATATAGCAAAACTGATCTTAGTTACTTTTTAAAGCTTCCGAAATCCAACATTTATGTCAGTATGGCAAAAAAAGGACTAGGGGCAAAGATTGCACACTAGCATTTATTTTTATTTATGCAGAGCATAGAAGTTGTCTCTAGAAAGAAAAAACACCCTGCTTGTCATTTGCTGAAAAGAGTTCATTTAATTTATGCAAGGGCATAAATACACAAGTAGAAACGGCAATGAAGTAACTACACCAGAAGAAAGACCATTCTTGCAACAAGCTTTTCCTGTCTGGAGCAATACAGGCTTACGAGTACAATCACATTCTCACACTGAAGACTTCCATTACATATATATATCTTATGACTTATTTTAATTTGTATCTTAGCTTAACATCAAGAGAAAGTTACCAAATTTAAATGTCATATGGCTTATTCTGTAAAGCACTCCTAGCTGCAGTAAGTACAACTCATCATCTCAACATACACTAAGAATACATTTACTTTAACATCAGCCAACACTGCTGCCTGCCTCCCTCCCTCTTGAGAGCATTTTTTTTTTTTTTTAAGTTAATCTCAAGGTGTAGGAAGTAAAAAACAACCTCTTATATACAGCTCCTGACAGTAAGTAAATGGAGCTATGATTCAAATAAAACTTCTTTTTTTTTTTTTTTTAAACCACAGCCAATGCACAGCTTTAATTAGGTAACTACTTACTAGACGAGCATTCCCATTTATTTACAAGGGAGAAATGTATACACTGCGGGAGATTCTCACATGAGCTTTATCTGACATTTGATCCTTGCATGGCACGTTGCCCAAGCACTGCACTGTACTGTGATTTAATAACAGGCAAACGCTCCAATAGTTATAAGTAATGGACTGCTTGCAGGTATACGACTGTAACCCAAGAGATAAAAGCATTCAATATAGCATTTTATTTAGGTTTTGGGAATAGGAAGGCTGTGAAAGGGAAGGATCTGTAAATAACAATTTGAAAAGAAAGGGACTCGTCACTAAAGGATTAAAAAAAAGCCATTGCCATTTTAGGACTATATATATACACAGTATACATCTGATAAACACGTTAATTTAAGCCTGAGACTATGAGAGCATATCTTTCCATTTTTCCTCCATATTTTCACAGCTCTAGCTGAAAAGAGGGAAGAAAAAAAAACAAGTCTCCAGTCCTCTACGCTCCATTATCGTGCTATCACTTGTCAGCTTTCTAAGCACTCTAAAAGCACGCTAATTATACTAGCTGAGAAAATAGTGTGAAGGCTCAATAAAAGTGAGTGAAAATACACCCATTTACTGCTTCATACAATTCAAACTTGTCTGCGTTTCATTTCGGGCCAGGGGCTGATTCTGACCTCTTCTTTAAAAAAAAAAAAAAAAAAAAAAAAAAAGCAGTTATGCAAGCCTCTGTCCGTAAGAATTTCCCCACCACACACCTGCCGATGTCAATAGGTAAACTGCTTGTTAGCAGCACGTACTGCAAGATTCAAAGCTGTCAGCCTTCAAGATACTTTTCATGTAAGCGTTCAGCATCTTCCAGCAGATACCCAATTTCTCTGATGAATAATTCAACCATGTGACTAACCAGGATTGAAGACATACTTGCAACCACTGCTGATTTGCTGGCGTTGTTTTTATCCATTTTAAAGTTATTTCACCGAGGCTGAAGAGAACTGATTAATTCACGTTATGCTGCTGCATCCAGTTTTTTTTACCCTGGAATCCTACACTCAGCTCTATACCTGCAGGTTGTTACGCTGCAGTCCGTAAACAGCCTCCTAGCCCAGATGCTGTTTTTCACGGAGGACACCACATAGAGGTAGTTCTCAGCAAAGCCCCTTGGGCATTTTGAAAAAGCAAACACAAGTCCTTTACCGATCTCCACAAAAGCGGTGGATCACTCGCTCTACGCAAGAATGCAGAAAAGGCAACTGCAGGGGATGAGGTTTTACTGCTGTCTTCAATAGAACATCGGCTCCAAAGCACAGTGGAACAGCAATTTACTCGTCTGCTGTCTCCTGGCGCCTTCAGGAGATAGATGCGTGCACTCAGACCTGAGCTAGCCAGCTACCCACGGGAAGCCGACAGCGCTGTCCTTCCACCCAGCTGTGAGCGCAGCGTCCTCGGGATCCGGACAGCAATCCCATCCTCCGTCGGACGGGCTGCTGCTGCGCTCTTCCACTCCCGTGCGGCTGCGGGAGCCCCCTGAAGATGCGCCTGCTTGGAGGCCCCATCCTAACCGGATGGCAAAGGGAATAAACGCAGCCCCTCTCCTCGCCCCTCCACGGCGTGGGGTCGCGGGGAAAACAGAAGGAAACACAAGGAGGGGGGAGGAGGGGGAGAGGAGGGAGCGATGGTAACGCGCTACGCCTGCAAGGAGAAGCAACCGCCGTCTTGTCACAGCCCCCCGAGACCGTTACATAACGGCAGCAAGGAGCGCAGCGCTGCGCAACCCGCTGCGGTGCGGGGAGAGCTCCGCTCCCACCGGGGCACGGCACACGCACACAACCAAAAGCCTCCCCGTAGGGCTGCGCTGACCGAATGTAAACGATCAGCCAGCGCGCCGACACGGGGCGAGAGGACAAGATCCACCAGCCAAGCGTGACCGCTCAAAAAAAAATAGGAAAAAGAACATAAAAGAGGGACTTAGGAAGCGACCCTGCCTCAGTCCACTTACCACCGGCTCACCGAGGGAGCGACAGCTCCTGCCAGCCCAACCTGACTCTCGCCCCGACTCTGACGCGATCAGCAGCCAACCCCGAGCTGGCGCGGCGGCTCAGCCAGGCTCCTGCCCTCCCGGCAGCGGCATTGGCGAGCGCCCGGCACCGCCTACTCGCCCTCCTCTGCCGCTCGTCCCCATAGGACAGACGGGCTGTCCAGCTGGCGACCGCTCCCGCCTCCCACGGAGCGTGAGGTAATGAATTAACGTAGGGGCAGCTGCTGCCTTAAATGGATGGTTGTACGCTGTGCCGTCTTCCTTCGCCCTGCTCGTTACCCGGTGCTCAGCAGTAGGTGGGCAGGGAGGAGATGCCTTCCTTGCCGTTCCTCTTTTTAAGAGCTGGGACAGAGACGGATCGGTTGGCTGGATGTACTCGCACAAATCCACGTCGGGAAGCCTGGGAATCGAGGCCGGGTTCAGCACCTTCCGCCGTTTCTCCCGTCTCAAGGAAAATGCACATAGCAGGGGGGTGAAGCCAGATGATCGTTATGGTCCTTTTCAACCCAGGCCATTCTATGATCCCATGACCAGGGAGAAGCATCAGTCTGCAAACCAAGTCTTGCAGGCGTTGTCAGCTTCTGGTTCTGATGGCTGACCAGTTGCACCTTAAACTGTGCTTGTTAACAAATAATAAACAACTAAAAATAAGTAACTAAAAAAAAAAGAAACCAACTGGGCTGGGCTGTGCAGTGCGGTAGGTGTTCCTCAAAACCTCGTGAGGACACTGGAAGTTTACTCTTTGTGAAACTTGAGCTGCTTCAAGAAAGGTCCCTCCCTGCAACTGAGAGACAGATCAAGAGCTGTGCAGTTCTGAATTAGAAACTGGTTTCAAAGGCAAAATGAGTGCAATACAGATCAACAATAAACAAGGTTTAGTAAGTAGTCCAGAGAGGAGAACTCACCCAGTGTTTAACGTACAGCTGATACTATGCCATCTTCAATTTTCCCCAGTCCGCACAGTTCGGAATATAATATGGTTTCTTTAATAGAAATTTTTGTCACAACCCATGCTAAGACCGATGTTCTCTTTTAGTAGCATCACTCTTAGAAAAAACGTGCAGAATCAGAATTACCCGTTTGATTGTGATAGAATGTGGACAAATTTATCTGTGTTTCACCATCCGCAATCAACGTGGACTCACCAAGGGGAAATCATGCTTGAACAGTCTGCCAGCCTTCTATGATGTCATGAGGAGCTGGGTAGGTTAGAAGAGAGCAGCAGTGTTACCTGCTTTGGCTTCAGCAAGGCTATTGATACTGTCTCCTATAGCATCCTCACAGGTAACCTTAGGAAGTGTAGGATAGATGAGTGGAGAGTGAGACTGGAAACTGGCAGAACTTGAAGGGTCGTTGTCAGTGGTGCAGAATCTATTTGGAGGCCTGTAGCTAGCAGCGTTTCCCAGGGATTGGTACTGGGTCAAGTCTTGTTCAGCATCTTCACCAACGATCTGTGTGAAGGCATACAGTCCACCCTCAGCAAGTTTGCTGATGGTACAAAGCTGGGAGGAGCAGCTGGCACACCAGAAGGCTGTGCTGTTATTCAGTAACACCTGAATAGGCTGAAGAGTTGGGCAGAGAGGAACCTGATGAGAAGTAACAAGGACAAGGGTAGGGTCCTTCACCTCGGAAGGAATAACTGCATGCATCAGTACCAGTTAGGATATGACCTGCTAGAGGTGAGCCCTGTGGAGTAGGTGTCCCAGTAAGTAACAGGTTATCCATAAGCCAGCAGTGTGCCCTTGTGTCCAAGAAGGCCAGTGATATTCTGGGGTGAATCAAAAAAAGAGTGGACAGCACGTCCAGGGAGATGAGCCTCTCCATCTACTCTGTCCTTGTGAGGCTACATCTGGAGTACTGTATCCAAGACTAGGCTCCCCGCTTCAAGAAAGACAGGGAACTACTCAAGAAAGTCCAGCCAAGAGCTACAAGGATGATTATGGGCCTGGATCATCTTCTTTATGAGGAAAGGTTGAGAAAGCTAAGACTGTTTAGCCTGGAAAAGAGAAGATTGAGGTGGGATCTTATCAGCACTTAGGAATATCTAAAGGGTGGATGTCAAGTGGATGGGGCCAGGCTGTTTTCTGTGGTGCTCAGCAAAAGGACAAGAGGCAATGGACACAAACTGGAAGACAGGGAGTTCCATCTGAAAATGAGGAAAAAACTTCTGTGAGGATGACAGAACACTGTAACAAGCTGTCAAGAGTGTCCTCTTCTGAAGATATGAAGAACCCACCTGGATGCTTTTCTGTGCATTCTACTCCAGAGAACTTGCTTTCAAAGGAGGGAGTTGGAGTAGATAATCTTCAGAGGTCCACTGTTATTATGCGATTCATGAAAGGAAGAGGGATGATCAAGCAAGGAAACTTTAATAAATCAGTCAGGTTCAATACACAAACAGGACTAATAGCCACATCTTAGAATCATAGAATCACAAGGTTGGAAAGGACCTACAAGATCATCTAGTCCAACTGTCCTTACTACCACTAAGCTACTAAACCACATGTCGTAGCACTTAATCCAGATGCCTCTTGAACACTGCCTGGAATGGTGGCTCCACCACCTCCCTGAGCAGGCCATTCTGGTGCCTGACTACTCTTCGGGAGAAAAAGGTTTTCCTTATATCTAATCTAAATCACCCCAACTTGTGGTCATTTCCCCGGGTCCTGTTTCTTGCTTGGAGAAGAGGCCAAACCCCTCTTCATCACACAACCTCCATTCAGGAAGTTGCAGAGTGCAGTGAGGTCTCCCCTGAGCCTCCTCTTCTCCACACTGAACAATCCCAGCTCCCTCAGCTGCTCCTCATAAGACTTGTGCTCCAGACCCCTCACCAGTTTTGTTGCCCTTCTCTGGACACGTTCCAGGGCCTCAGTGTCCTTCCTGCAGTGAGAGACCCAAAACTGAACACAGCACTCGAGGTGCGGCCTCACCAGTGCTGAGTACAGGGGATGCTCACCTCCCTGCTCCTGCTGGCCACAACATTCCTAATGCAGGCCAGGATGCTGTTGGCCCTCTTGGCCACCTGGGCACACTGTCGGCTCATGTTCAGCTGAGCACCAACCAACACCCCCAGGTCCCTTTCCTCTTCACACTCATCCAGCCACTCTTCCCCAGGCCCATAGTGCTGCATAGGGTTGTTGTGCCCAAAGTGCAGGATCCGACACTTGGCCTTGTTGAACCTCATCCCATTCACCTCAGCACAGCGATCCAGCCTGTCTAAATCCCTCTGAAGGTCCTCCCTACCCTCAGGCAGATCAACACCACCTCCCAGCTTGGTGTCATCTGCAAACTTACTGAGGGTGCACTCAGTGCCCTCATCTAGCTCATCAGTAAAGATATTAAACAAGATGAGCATTGTTAATGCTATTAAAAATATATTAACAGCAATAGGAGGACTGGATATAAAATCACTCCATTACCTGATGAGGATGGTCACCTCACAGATGATGCAGACAATGCAGAGACGCTTCATGCCTTCTTTATGTCTGTCTTCAACATTGATTATGACTTTAAGACCCCTGGATTGCTGAGCTGGAGGACTTCTAGTGTGGAAATAATGAACTCCCAGCCAGCTCCAAATGTGTGCAGGATTTATTCCAGCTGCATATAAGTCTATAGGACCTGATGGGACCTATCCCAGAGCTCTCAAGAGAGCTGGCCTATGCCATCACAAGACCACTATCAATTATTTTTTAATGGATTGGTAGTCAGGAAAGGTCCCAATCAACTGCAGGATGGCAAACATAGCCCCAGTTTTCAAGAAGAGAAAGAAAAAAGACTCTGATAGTTACCGGTCAGTCTCACCACAGTGCCTGATAAAGTTATTGAGATTATTCCAGGACTTACTGAAAAACAGCTGAAAGACAATGCAGTGATTGGCCACAGCCGACCCAACCAAGTTCATGAGGGGAAAGTCCTGTTTAACAAATTTAATCTCTTTTTGTGACAAGAATTACCCACCTATTTGACCAAGGGAAGCTGGCTGATGTAATTTTTTGGATTTCAACAAAGCTTTCAGTATTATTACTCACAGTGTCCATCTGGACAAAATGTCTAGCATACAGCTAGACAAAAGCATAGCACAATGGGTAAACAGTTGGCCTATGAGTCAGGCTCAGAATGTTATGGTAAATGGTGTTACATCAGACTGGTATCCAGTCTGTAAGGGAATTCCTTCTTATGGACAGTTCTCTTTAGTGTTTCAATCAACGACTTGGATGCAGGACTTGAACTGGTACACTATATAAATCTGTGGGTAACTCCAAGCTGGGAGGAGCCAATGACTTCCTCAGTGGCAGTAAGGCTTTGCAGAGGGCTGGGCTGTCAGTAACCACATGAAGTTTAACAAGAGCAAGTGCCAGATTCTGCACTTGGGGTTGGACAACCTTGGATGAGGAGGTACAGATCAGGAGACAAGAAGCTAGAAAGCAGCCCTACGGAAAGGGATCTCAGGGTTCTGGTTGACAGCAGGTTGAATGTAAGTCGGAAATCTGTCCTGACAGTCAAAAGGACCAATCGCCCTGGGGTGCATCAGGCCCAAGCATTGCTTGCTAGTTGAGAGGACACCTGTCTGATGCACACTCACCTCAAATACTTCTTGCAGTTTGGAGTGTCACAATCTAAGACAGACATAAAACTATTAGAGAGCATTCAAATGCATGCTATGAAAATTGTGAAGGGTCTAGAAGACAAGGTATATTGCTTGATTTGTTCAATCCAGAGAAGAAGAGACTAAGGGGAGACCTCATGGCAGCCTGTAGTTTCCTCATGAGAGAAGCAGAGCGAAAGGCACTGATTTCTCTCATGAAAGTGACAGGACCCGAGAGAGTGGCATGGAGCTGCATCGGAGAGGCTCAAGTTGGATATTAGAAAAGGGTTCTTCACCGAGAGGGTGGTCAGGCCTTGGAGCAGACTCCCCAGGGCAGTGATCACAGCACCAAGCCTGCTGGAGTTCAAGAAGTGTTTGGACAGTGCTCTCAGAAATATGGTCTGAATTTTGGTTGGTCATGTGTGGAGCCAGGACTTGGACTCAATAGCCCTCGGATGTCTCTTCTAAGTCAGTATGTTCTATACTAT